AATCTGTAACTCGCATCCCGATTCGGGATTGGTTTGGCACCTAGTCGGCTCTGTCTATTTCAGGGTGGAATGTATCCTCGAGAATTGATCAAACATGCCGGCCGAGTAATCCATGAAGGTATGGACAACTTCACACCCTCAGACTTCATGAGGCTGGCGAGGATGTGAGGGTTCATGGGGATCATTGTCTTTCGTTTCGAGGGTGAAGTTTCTCAGGTACCAGAAGATGGACAAACGGCATGATACCTTTTGCCGTGCCTGGATTCACGACGTGCTACATAAGCGAGGAGTTGATGTCGATCCCGAGGTTTGTAATCATTCGGATAGTGAGGGCGAACGGAAGTAATCCGGGATGGCACTTAAGTTTCGAATGATTTGTGGCGTAATCGATATAGCGTTAGGCTTTCAAACGAAAGATCGCCGGTTCGAGCCGCACTGAGATCGTTTAATTTTTTGCTCTCGCCAGATATAACTTGGTGGAAGCATCCTTTGCCTTGAATTTCATGAAACAGCTAAGAGTGAACTCTGGCACGACGGAGTGGTGGGATAAGGAAGCGGATTACAGGGCTTTGAACGGAGTTGTACACCACTGCGGCTATCCACATGCGAGTGATAGATTTTCCCATCAGGTCATCAATGGTTTCTGTAAAGCAGATGAGCGGGGAGTCCGAAGAATTCTCTCGGTCATGTCTCCTCGAGATGTGTCGTTTCTGGCCTCGTCGATTTCGAGAGCAGCATTTCTGAAGAACTCGGATATCGAAGTGGTTGTTGCTGCTATTGTAAGGCTTACATGCACAAGACGACTGCTGTAGCTCTCTCGCCTCCTCCAGATGGATCGGCTTCGATATTTGTTGACTCCTGGCAATGAAGTTGGAGTCCCCTCGAGGGACAGAGCAGCGGAGTATTTACCACAAACGATGGAGCACCTCGTCCGTTGTGGTCGAAATCGACGGAAAGACAAGTAATAGTTCCCCTTCACTGACTGCCTCTCACTAGGACTCGCTTTTCCTCGAGGTACCTTGACTGCTCTTGGGTCGCTATATGGTTGTGTAAAACAGTGTATTCTCGTAATATACATCAAATAGTAAGCATAAACAGGTAATACTTGTCACTGTGACATGCTCACAAGTTGTTAGCTGTGCGTGCATTGGCCAGGTCCCTTGGTCACCTTGGATACTCCGACCTTAACTATCATAGGATCTGGGTCAACTTCTACCTCGATCGACTCGACTCCCTCCTCAAGACTGATATCACCATGATCAAAGACACGTAGGGTATTTCCCTGCTGCGTTGCCCGCTACCCCGCGGTAGGTTCAACAAGTTGAAACTACATGATGAGGACATCGGTCGTGATTTATTCTGGCGGCTTGGCCTTCGCTTCCAGCAGTGTGTTATCAACACTAGTGCCGCACGGTACGTTGCATCACTTCTACTTCTATTAGAGTTCCTTCTCTTAAGGTTTTATGGGAATCGAGTAAACCGACGGATTCGACGCATAGGATGAAGAACCCGTACCCGATCACTGTCCATGATGTCACGTTTCTGCTGATTTCAAAGAGTTGTGTGCAAGGTCAAACATGGAACCTCCAGTCACAAAGGGACTGGTGGTGAAACAGGTTTGACCGGTCAAAATCCACGCCGAGCAAGCTCCGACTCCGGGCGGAGGGCAGAAAAAAAATGCGCCGCTCCAGAACACAATTGTTCTTGCGTGCATAGCTCGAAATCGATCAACCATTGCAGCTGGTGCAACATACTCAATTGTATGTTGAGCAAGCCGACAGAAACTCGTATCTGTCAGCTTGGCTCAAGAGACAAGCAAGGGCTTGCTCTTCACGGTTTTTTTCCCTCCCACACCACCCAGGGAAGACCCCAAACCGGAGACATTTCGACCTGACTCAGCTTCAACCACCGCGGAAAGGTTCAACTTCAACCTGTGAAAAGCTGAGGGTCAGCTCAAGCCAAAATGAGGGTACAAAATTTTCCAAATTGTCGACGGTAACTTTTGACCCTCAGAAACACCACCACTGATACCTCCGAGCAGTCAGTGCCTGTGGTTTGAGCACGGTCGGGCATCTGAGCTACTGGTCGCGAGTTCACAAACGTCTCCCACCCAGTAGCTGCAGAAACACACAACACGAGGAACACGTTCGCGAATCGTTCCACTAGCCTTCGAACGAGAACAATATTGCGCAGCAATCTCGGCTGGTTCTGCGGCTTCGTGCAGTCGAACCGGCCGAGCGGCTCCCTGCTTCACAGCTCGCCTTCCCATTGTCGGAGCTTAGCAGCGGCAGCTGGATTTTGTTTGTACAGTCAAAACTGTCTCCACGCGATTACGACTCATGAAATCCTCGCAAGCACACAACATCATTGAGTACGTGAAAGATCTACATCATTCCGGCTACATGCCTAAAGAATATATCATCTAAAACTGCTACAGCAGTGGGTGTAGTGGGTTTGATTAGTTCGACTGGTCCCGGCACTCCCCAACGGAGTATCTCGGACCTGGCTAGATCTGCCCGACTGTACATTCGTCCGCATCTTACTCTCCCTCGAATTCTCCATCCAAGACGGGCACTCCGCCTTTGAAATTGTCTGGCGGAAGACTAGGGCTGAAACACAGTGACATCGATCTAGTCTTGGCATTGACGGTGGAGGACCTTGGCCTTGTAACAGGTTCAGGTCGACCCCTCGAAGCCTGTCGTGGCTCTGCGTTCTCCTTCCCGGCACCTTTCGCAACTCTATTTATCAGACGAGCAGACTGTTGTTGCCCATCGACCTTATCTGAGAATCCTTCGGGTATGTGCCTTATTCGGCTGAGGTCCGCTACCAAGAGAAAGGACCGCCAGGGGCTTTCTCGTTGTGAGCTTAAGAATGCCATCACCTTTGGCCGGCTCGTTCGTTTGATCGAGACGTGGCTGATGTGCTATGCGGAATGCGTGATGCGACATCATCATGATGACGTACGATGAATTTCAGGCTGCTCTACGATGACCTCCTGTATTCCCGCCCACAACACAAGCTCCCTGTCATCATTTCGAAATATCCGACAGGCTAGTCATTACGCAGTTCATAGGCGACATCAATACGGTATCCTAGTTTACCCCGTACCAAAACGCCCAGGCTAGCACAAACTTTCATCTCATCTCCAGCGTGGAGGCCAGTAGGGAACGGAAATAGGGAATCGTAGTGGAGGTACTCTGTCGCACCAGCAGCACCAACTGTTGTCTAGTAGCCTCAGTTTTCATAAGATACACCTCAATGAAGTGACCTCATGCCACTCTTCCCAACGCTATTAAGCCCATTCTCATACCTCAACCTGGCCGGACACCCTGATCCAGAGGCCTATCTCCAAGACGTAGAGTATTCCTCACCTTTCGCGTTATCATGATAATCTTTTCTAACACACTCCATTTCTCCTCAGCGACGATGGTACCTCCTCTAAGTATTCCAATAGACTACTATCTCGCCAGCTACAACAACCCAACAGTTTGGAGAAGCAGAAGCCTGGGTATATTCAACTAGTTCTCTCTTAGAGCCTACCGAGTTGATAGGAAATGCAATGGTAAGTTTAAAGAGAATAGTTCGTAATAGTAACGAAGGACGAGGAGGTCTTTATGAATACTACGTGGCACTTTACAAAATCGATATGCTACTAATATGCCAACATGCTCACTATGGCATGTCTCAACAATATGGTACACATTGTTGGAGAATATACCTTTGGTCAACTACGTGTGTTATCGACGATAAGGAAACCTCGGGGGAACTCTTCTTGGTTTTTTCTAAACTTCTACCTAAGTCGTGTGTGAATTCTCATAATGTATTGAGGAGTCTCCTCAGCTCAGCTGCGGAAACCAACCATAAGCTACAGTATAAGTAACCATACCAGCGCCTTCGTCGTTTGAGCCTCCAGTCATAGGCTTTCCACCAGTTCAGTACTGAAGGCTCTCGGACGCGGTGATTGGTTCCGGCGAGATGCAATAAGCGTTGAGTCTGCAGTGGTCGGTACTGTTCCATCACCGCTGGTCAAAGGAGGATCCTCCAAGTCGGCTGAGACATCTTGCTTCCTACCCACCCCCGAGGGCGACTCTGTACTGCGTATCAACCTGAAATGACCCTCTTGTTACGTGCCACTCTACCAGTTCAAAATCGGGAACTTGAAAGTGAAATCCTTCTGAGACTACCCTTATTCTCATCAAATAATGTATATTGAGAAGAGCTAAATTCACGGCGATAACTGATTCATCTCAGGTGCAGAAATATATAGTAAACAAGATAACCATTGATATTCACACTATCGTTCATTCGTATCAGTAGTTAAGACTATGCATAAGTCGAAACATGCGGTATAGACCTTATAAGAGCTACTACTACAGCATCACGATGATGCTGTATCACAATGAGTGCATTACGGTCCATAGACCAACAACCCATAGTACTACTCGCTATTATCCATCGGCAATGCACTGCCTCTAAATTCGATACCCCAGTCTGAGAAAGTACGACCACGTGATGGGGGGCTTCCAGAGTTGGGTGTATCCCCTCTCGTTTGCTTCTCCCCAGACCAATACACCTATCTAACCATACCACACTATGAAGGGGCATCCACTACCTTCGGGTGGTCATCACTCTCGGCCACTTCAGTGCCGTTCATCTCAGCGAGATCCCATCCTTCTTCAGTCAGCGCATCCAAGTTGCTAACCTAAATGAATAGGGAGTCCACCAACGTACCCACATTGCCTTGTCCTCGTACATCAACATTATACGAACCATTGTCACCAACCCTCTGCACGATCTTCTCCCA